TTTTCGGAGCCTACGAGAGAAGAAGATTGCTTCCGATTTGGTCTCGTTAATAGAGAGTCTCCATTTCCGATACCAGTTTAGGAGCCGGGGCAGAAACATATTGATGCTCGCAGTGCATTGGAGAATGGTGCTGGAAGAGTTTATGGGGGCAATGTCGTCAGCGTACAGAGCAGTCATAATGGAAGTGTGGGAGGGCATGTCCGCGCAAAAGAGGTTAAACAGAATAGGAGAAAGTTTGGAGCCTTGTGGGACACCGGCTGTGACGGGTTTACTGACAGAGAGAGAAGAGCCAACGCGGACTCGAAGGCTTCTGTCTGTGAGGAAGGACCTGATAACCCCAACTAGAAAGTGTGGGCGATGAGTTTAGAGATAAGGCCTTCGTGCCATACTCGGTCGAAGGCTTGTTGGACGTCAGGAAGTAGCATTGAAGTGTGACGCCGCTTGTTGAGGTTATCGGAAATGTGTTCTGTAACACGAAGAAGTTGGTGTCCGGTGCCGTGTTGCCTGCGGAAACCGTGTTGGAAGTCAGGGAGAAGGTTGTTTTGCTCCACGTGGTCTGAGAGCCGATCGAGAAGGAGGGATTTAACTACTTTGCTCAACGAACTGAGCAGGCTGATGGGCCTGAAGCTTGAGGGAGAGCTGAGGGGCTTCCCTTTTTTGGGGAGACAGATGACAGTGGCTTCTTTCCATACCAAAGGGGAGTGGTGGAGCCGCATGATAGCGTTTGTGATGTTGCACAGTGCGGTGGTGTGCTTTGGTGGCAGGATTTTTCAGAGAACGAATGGTAAGGAAGATCTCACGGGGTGTAGTGTGTCTGAATTCGGAATTTATGGGAACGATGGTTTGGGAGATGACTTTGGTACGCTCGTGAAAGTTGGCAAGGTCCACTGGACTAGGTAGTGGAGAGCACTGGAGGCATAAAGAGTCTGCGAAGATTGCAGCTTTTTCTTCGTCTGAAGAGTAAGTGGATCCGTTCTGTTTTAGTGGCGAAAGATGGGGAGCTCTGTTACGAAGGGAACAGATCACTTTCCAAGTGCTTCGGGGATGAGTTTCTGCCTGAGCGATATAGTCGTTGAAGGATGCGCTGCGGAATTCGGTGAGACGAGTTCTAAGTTCTCGCTGGAGGGCGTTTACTACTGTACGCTGTGCTGGGTCGCGGTGTTTATTCCACAGACGTCGGGCTTTGTTTTTCCTCTTAAGGAGGTCAACAATGTCTGCGGGGAGAGCATCGCCTGGGGTGGTGGCTGGGCGGGAGGTCGTGGAGCGCTCGACGGCGCTGGTAATCTCTTTTGAAAGGAGATTTACCGCTTCATCGAGTTCCTCTATTGTGCGAATTTGAGAGCACTTAAAAGAAGATGACTCAAGGGTGTAGCGCAGATGTAGCCAGTCTAACGAGGATGTTAGCTTTGGGAGGTTGTAAGTTGGGCGGCCGATTTCTATTTGAACAGGAAGATGATCTGAGCTTAGATCATCAAGAA